TTACCCTCGTCAAAAAACAATTTGAACCAATTTATGTTTTTCTGGCCAAAATTGGCCGGGAATTTGGCCCGGAGGACCAAATCTGCCAATAATTGCATAGTTAAAGGTTTAAATTGGGAGTTTTGAAAGTCACGTACTCAAATTGTCAGTACCCTAATACTCACAGGACCAAAAGTGCAATTTGTTCATTCATTTTTTTTTATTCAACAAAAAAAAAAAGTATCACAAGGATACTACAACATTTATTTAACAAATAAATAAATAGGAAAAATTACATTGGAAACCAATTTCCATTATTCCTATGTAGTAGTCCTTTGAACCCGTGTGCCTTGTTCCATTCTCAACCGTCCACTCTACAAAGGGTGGTCCATAGCGCACATCGGGGGTACCTCGGTTGTGACCTCACTCGTCCAACCATCCACATGTTTTAAACATAGCGAAGTTGTCCTCAACCTTTTCACTAGGATGACAGTTCGCTTTGTAGTGGCATTTCTCCTTCTTCTCATAATCTTCTTGAAAGTTAAGCTTCCGCTTGCCTTTCCTTTGATTATCGTTGAAGACATTGGTCACACTACAATAGTCTTCAGACCATGTAGTGATTACACCATCGTAGGATCCTTTGTGGCTTTTAGCCGATCCACTAGACAACACAATAGGTACCAATTGTGTGCCATTAGCCACAGGTCTACCGGTTCGTGAACCAAAGTTCTCCGGAGCACCATCGTGTGTTTTCGCAACTCCCATGGAAATCTTATTTCCAACGTTGCCGCCGTCAACCGGCATCACGGAATGTGCAACATCGTTGCCGTTTCGACCATTTGAATGTGCACCACGAGCAACCTTCACGGATCCAACACTTTTGGAATCCATCGACTTGTTCATTATAAAAAAAATAAGGTTTTAAGATTGTTGGTGATAATGAACCAAAATCGATTTTATATTGCAAAATAATATTTATATATACACACACAAGTATATAAAATATTATTTGATATATATCCAAAATATATATATACACACAAATATATATATGACGGAACCAACGGTTATATATACATATATATCTACGGAAAAGATATACCAATATATATCAACCGAAATTGGAACTAATAGTCCTCAGATTTTAAATCCAATCCACAACTAATGGACTGTTGGCCTTCAGCCTCAGGGGCCGAAACATTGCTGCATTCTGTTTCGGTCTGGCCAAAACCATGGTTCAGTTCAGCCTAGACCGAGATGAGACCCGCAAGGCCAGCCAATTTCTGGACGACATTCGTGCCCGTAGGTGCCGGCGCACACAAGCTCGGGCTTGAATCAAACCTTTTTCAATCTCGTCTAGTTAGAATTTGATTTGCACCCCCCCCCCCCCCCGGCGCGAGAGAGCCTCTATGCTATACAATTCTACAAGCTCTAAAAATGCTCTTGTATAAAAGGGGGGTCAAATCCTCTTTCCAAACCAATGTGGGACAAAACCTCACTTTTTCCCTTCATTTTTCCAACTCAATGGGTCTACTTTGAGAATCAATATCTCATTCACCCATTATCCGTTTTGAGCGTACAATATATCAATCTCTTCATCTCACTATGAAGAACCCGAATCCACTTTGACCCGACCCAAATCGGAAGTGGACCCCACCGATAATTGTACCACAAAATAGCCACTTAAAAATGACATTTTAATGCTATTTTTCCAACATATTGTTGGTGGGTCTTTGCTTCTGCTTCATTTTTTTTTTGTGGGGGGTTTCATTGTTTTTACGCATCTTGTGTGTTTTGTGGGGTGGTCAAGGGGTTTGTTGTCGAATTTATGCAGTATTTTGGAGCTAGGGTTTTCGGTTTTTGGTTTTTGGCATGTGTTTGGATGGTTCAATTTCTTTCTTATTTTGAATATTATGCCTACATAATGTTAGTTAGTTTGTTTTGTTTCTAATTTTGATGCCTATATAATGCTATATTGTTTGGAAGTTAAGAGTTCAATTTTTGTAGTTTTTGATTATCATTTTGCAAAATCTGGAGATGGGAATGGTTTCTGTGTTCGTTTTTGTTTCCAATTCTGCCATTTTTTTTAAAAAATAATATGCATTCTGCCGTGTCGTTGGGGTGGGGGTTGCTGGTGGTGATGAATTTAGTTGTTTTTGGCTTCTCTTTTAATTTTTTGGTTCGTTATTAAATTGGTTTCTGTTGTTTTGAATATAGTAAATCAGCGTGTGTTGTACTTTTAATCATTTTTTTGCTATTTTTTATTCCAAGATACTGCTATATTGTTTCTAAGTTTATGTTGTCAAGATACTGCAATCAATTTATGTTGTCTTTCATAATGGCCTTGCAAAATCTGAAAATGGGAATGCTTTGGGTGTTAAATTGTTTTCTAGTTGTGGAATTAAGCAAAATAAGAGGTAGATTTGGTGTTTTTGTAGTTGTAGTTGTTCTGCCTGGTTTTGTTTGGTTTTCCAATTGTGGATGGTATTGTTGTTTTGTTTTCAAGGTAAAAAGTTCAAGGTGTCGCGGTGTGTTCCAGGTGGGGCACCAAGTTGTGTGAGTGATGACGACTTCGTTTCGCCACAGTTGGCCTTCTTGGCAAGGTTGGAACAAGACCCATTGTGGAATGCCCCTGATGATGATTCGATATCCGAAGAGGAGTGTGCTCACAGTTAACTAAACATGTGCACAACAGTTTTAAAATTAGTTACTTCTAATATTTTTGATAGGGTGTGTGCTAGCTTTTTGTCTGTAAATGTGCAGGGCAGTTTGACGTCCGGTTTCGCGTAATTTTTTAGCAACTGTGTTTGTTTTTTGGTTCCGTCACTATTTATTCAACAACATGTTGTAAATATATTTTAGAGGGTGTGTGCTTGCAATTAAATAAACATGTGCACAACAGATTTAAAAACAATTACTTACTATATTTGATAGGGTGTGTGCTTACAATTGTCTGTAGAGGTGCACGTCAGTTTTAATGCCCGGTTTCATGTATTTTTTTTAGCTCATGCTTTTGTTCCATGGTTCCTTCACTTTCTGTTTAAAAACATGTTGTAACTATATTTTACAGGGTATGTGCTCGCAGTTAACTAAACTAGTGCACGACAGGTTTTATTATAGTTACTTATTTTTTTTTGATAGGGTGTGTGCTAGCATTTGTCTGTAAATGTGCACGGCAATTTTGATGCCCGGTTTCATGTAATTTTTTTAGCTCCTATTTGTGTTCTTTGGTTCCTTCAATTTTTTTTCAAAAACATGTACTAAATATATATATATATATATATATATATATATATATATATATATATATATATATATATATATATATATATATATATATATATATATATATATATATATAGGCTACAGATCCAGTGAGATCTCTATGATTTGTGAGATCATGAGACCATATCACATCCATCAACCCAAACACAATGGATGGTCTAGATTGAGAGATTAATGTCAACTAATTTAGGATATTATTTTATCAGAAGGATTTAAAGGTAATTGTATCAAAATGATTAAATATGGTGAGAATTAATAATGTAATCTTTAGCATAAAAAGTGGGATTATATACATGGTAATATGCACAAGATAATGCTGACCAGTGCTTTTGAGAACAAAACCAGCGAAGTCAAGGTTTGTAAATTTATCAGTTCAGAGCTTGAGCATGGAAAGTAACAATCCTGGTATGTGCATTTGTTTTTATTATAACATCATTAAAGTAGAAGGCGATTTGTGCGTGAATGGGCTCATGCGTGTGCGTAATGCATCAGCAATGTGTTTTAGGCGTTGTTTTTTGGCTTTTTTTTTAATTGATATTTTTGCCGATGTGTGCGTGCTATATATGTTTGTCTGTGCGTGTACCCGTGAAAGGTCGTAAGTTTGTGCATAGACTAACCGTTTGGTGTTTTCTGGGTGTTATTTGTTTGTGTTTTTTTTTTTTTAACACTGTGATATGTGCGTAGGGTAATCTAGTTGCTGGAAGGGTTTTATCTTAATAAAGTCTAGTAATCAAAAGTGCTCGTATAGTATGTGTGTGCGTTCGTGTGCTAGTGCCGTGTGTATTGCACTGTAAATGTTGGTATTCAAAGATGGATGTGTGATTATTCAAAGAATATAATAGTTTGTCTTATTTAAAATAAAAGCAAGAAGTGTTATATTTGAAAAAAACATATAATGAAAGAATCTAGTTGCTGGAAGGATTTTATCGTAATAAAGTCTAGTAATCAAAGTTGCTCGTATAGTGTGCTAGTGTGTGTGCATTGCACTGTAAAGGTTGGTATTCAAAGATGGATGTGTGATTATTCAAAGAATATAATAGTTTGTCTTATTTAAACTAAAAGCAAGAGGTGTTATATTTGCAAAAAAAAAAAAAAAAAAAAAAAACATATAATGAAAGAATCTAGTTGCTACAAGGGTTTTATCTTAATAAAGTCTAGTAATCAAAGTTGCTCGTATAGTAGGAGTGTGCATTCGTGTGCATTGCATTGTAAAGGTTGGTATTCAAATATGGATGTGTGCTTATTCAAAGAATATAATAGTTTGTCTTATTTAAAATAAAAGCAAGAGGTGTTATATTGGAAAAAAAAAAGCATATAATGAAAGAATCTAGTTGTTGGAATGTTGTTATCGTAATCAAGACTAGTAAACGAAGTTGCATATTAAGTAGGTCTGTGCATTCGTATGCGCGGCCGTGTGCATTTGCTGTACATGTTGGTATTCAAAGATGAAGGCGTGATTGACTTGTGCATATGTACTTAAAAGTCTGTGCAAGTCGAGTAATAGAAGTGGTTGATCGTATAAAATAATTTTGTTTCCTAATTAAAAAGCTTACGTCGAAGAATAAAATTGTTTGTCTAATCTCAAATAAAAAACAAGAGGTCTTATATTGCAAAAAAACAAAATAAATAAATTAAAAAAATTAAACATATAATGAAAGAATTAGTCGCTGAAATGGTTTTTTTTTTTTTTTTTTTTTGTAATCAAGTATATTAATCAAAGCACCATGGACCCAATCTTAGTCAAAGTAACACTGTGGTTAGTCTTCTCAAACTTGCCCCGCCAAGTGATTCGTACAGGCTACTACACAACAATGCACACATCACCCAGTAATTTGCACACATCACCCAGTAATTTGCACACACCATCCAACACCAACGCACACAACAATGTATGTAATTTCACTAGTTTCACTACACAATACTCATGCTTTCAAACACGTGGTCCTCAAGCTAGGTCCATAATCCCGTGGTCTCTTCTTCACCATTGGATCTTCATTGTCCATCATGTTCGCTAAATCTCGGTCGAACATCTCCACAAATGTCCTTTGCAAATCCTCAAGACTTTCCTCCTCTTTTAACCAAATAAAATTAACTTCAAGATTCATTCAAGTTCTTATATTGCAGATTACATATCCTCCCTGTGATGAATAAAGATTCACACCTGGGTCTCAACATTTTGGTCCATCATGCAGGAATTCACCCATTCCCTATTTCACAATTTACCCAAATGTCAGGGGCAAATAAGTACTAACGAAAATAAATCAAACTCCAAAAACCTAATGAGCTAAAACGCTGCACTCTAAGATTTTGCACACGCCCATTTACATAAACCCAACTACCATCACACCACAATTTTTTTTTTTTTTTTTTTATAAATCTCATAATTTATTGGGGAAAATGAATAAAAACATATAGCATTCAGGTCATCATGTTGGGCTAATTGATAATTTATTCTAACATGTTAAACCCATCTTTTCCTTTATTGAATTCTTTCAATAGAACAATTCAAGCACATGTTCAGTTTGTAGACAAACAAGTTAACTATACCATTACTAAGAAAATTGAAAAGACATTTCTGAGCAACAAATCAAATATGTAGAAATAAAATGAATGGTATACATCGTTATCGGAAGAAAGAAATTACTTGAACTCGGTTTTCTCCAATTTCAGCAGGAGCAATCAGAGACTCTAACTGAGTGAAGAACACCCTGCAATGAAAGATCAGATGGCATATAATTTGATTATAAAGAAATAAATATACCAATAGGAAGTATAGCAAAACTCATGTAATGACCAGATCTACAACTAAGAGTCCTACAAAATACAAAGAAAAAGGATGCAATAACAGACTTGCAAAATTGAGATCTAAATCACCTCAAAAGTTGCACATCCTCTTCATTTAGAAAAGTAGGAATTAAAGATTCAGCATGACTCAGAAGTGAACCTGGAAACACTAATCATTAGTAAAGCAAAAAAAAAAATAAAAAAATTCCTAATAAGTAGATTAAAAAATCAGATGAATTAGTCAGAGCAAGTTACCTAGGTTTCTACGAATAACAGCCACTTTTTCAGCATAACAAACAGATGAAACGTCAACCGCTGATTTGGTTGGTTCATTTTGCAAGCACTCAGGAAACTTTTTAAGGAAGAGATCCTTATCAGCATAATATTATCTAGCCGAAAAACGCAAATCAAAAACATTAAAAAAGGAGGAAAAACTTACCTTGCATACCATCAGAAGACAATAGCTTCTGCCCCTTTGACCACCGGAGCGAGGAGTCTGCCATGGAACATTTGAATCGCCTGTACAAACGGTAGGGAGAGAGAGATCGGCTACTATGTCTTCTGTGGAGTGAAGGAGTATAAAATTAAATTTAAGGAAGGTACCATGAAGATACCGAGAATATCTCGATATTCAATGGCAATTAATTAATGAATAAACGAAATTACTAAACAGCCCACACCCCTATTTTTTCCAGCGAAAATCACTTAAAAAAACTCCAAATCTGACCCATTAAAATAAAACAATGGATGATCCAGATTGAGCCTCACCACCTCACCTAATTAGGGTGACCTCACCGGATCCAAAATCTATATATATATATATATATATATATATATATATATATATATATATATATATATATATATATATATATATATATATATATATATATATATATATATATATATATATATTTTAGAGGGTGTGTGCTCGCAGTTAACTGAACATGTGCATGGCAGTTTTTAAAATAGTTATATATTTTTTAGATGTATGCACATTGTTTTAATAGCAAATAGTTTATTCAAAACCACGCTAATCTACGAGTAACACAAATTACGAATAACGTGCACACATTAAATGATTACGAATCTGTCGTTCTTCTTTTGGTGTCTGAGGCTACGTATGAGGTGTGTGCAATGTTTATAATTTCCTGTGTGCACAATGATTTTTATTTTCATGATTTTCAGCCAGACGTCCACGTCCCTCGATTAGGATATATTTTAACCACTATGTGCACCGCAATATGTTACAGTGTGCTCGCCTGGGCAATATGGGTTTAATCCTCCAACATGTGTGCGAACATATATCTTCATGTGTGCGTATGTTACTCCACGCAATAAAATCAAGTGCTAGTAATAATAAGTCTGATAAATATAAATATTCAAGTGCGGGTCCTTCGTATGGGGTCTTCTCATTTTGTGTTGCAGGTTTCCAGTATTTTGCTCCATCATCACTATTTCCATAACACATTCTTGTGCATCGTGTTCACGTTGTTCTTCCCCTGTTGACCATAAAAAAATTAAGATTAAATTTGTGTTACATTTTAAATGATGTGCATGGGCATTCCAAAACTATCATTCTAAATAAGATTAAAAAAATTGTGTTCCATTTGGTCGTTCATTCACTGCCCTAATCTGTATGTGTGTTATTTCAGTTGGATTGGGATCTGGGGTGTGTGCATCAGAGTGTCTGACTGTGTGCGTGGTTGCGTAATCGTGTCTGACTGTTTGCCGTAGGGATTAGAATATCGTTGGGAGGGGGGTTGGGGAATTGCGTCTGTATTGATTTTGTTTAATCCTATTGTAATTAATCCCCTTTAATTTAGGTATTAAAAATCAGAATCACAGTTTCACCATATTTAGGCTACCATGCAATTGTCTTAAATGCCCTTATTATCAGGGTTGTAAAAATCGGTCTAGGCGCCCGCCTAGGCACTAGGCGCCTCTAGACCGTGGTGATTTCCTCCCTAGGCGCCCACCTAGGTTACCGGCCGCCTAGGCGTCCGCCTAGCGCCTAACTCGGCCGATTTGGCCGCCTAGCGTCTAAGTTAGTCGAGTTAACTCGTCCATTTCGGTAGAGTTAACCCGATTCGCTCGGCCTATTTTTTTTATTATATATATATATATGTGTGTGTGTGTGTGTGTGTGTGTGTGTGTGTGCGCGCGCGTGCGTGCGTGCGTATACATATATATAATATGACATATATACACTCGTAACTAGTTTGATACTTTGAATATTTTGATGATTGAAGTATTTGAGCATTTCATATTTGAGTATTTTTTATTTTTAATATTGTTTTAGTGTTTTTTTTTTTTTTGAAAACCATTGTTTTGATGTTATGACTTATGAATTATCATTAATTCATTTATTTGGATGTGTTATTTGATTAAATATTGAAAACAACCTCATTAAAATTGTCAAACTACAAGTCTACCACTGTTTTATTAGCGCTCGCCTAGCGCCGCCTAGACCGCCTAGGCGCTAGGCGCTGTCCGGGCGCCCGACTAGCGCCTAGTGCATACTGCAACCTTGCTTATTACTATTATTATTATTATTATTATTATTATTATTATTATTATTATTATTATTATTATTATTATTATTATTATTATTATTATTATTATTATTATTTACGTTCCAGGCATGTGTTTTTCTCATTAAATCTAATTCATTAATCTAATCTAATCTTATGGTCCATATTTGTCCATAGGTTTGTATTTTAAGAGGGTTTGCATGTGAATGCAACCATATATATATATATATATATATATATATATATATATATATAAAAGAAACGAAAAGGAAGAATAATAGAAGTTGTTTGTAACACACACCCACCTTAAAATTAAATAGATTCACAACATTTTGTGGTGTTAGAAGCGTCGTAGCGTCAGTCTCCTAGGTTAAAATGAATTACAGTAATCAAGCCTTTTCAAACTCATTCGAAGCCCCTTGCGTGAGAGATAAAACCTTTATGCTATACAATTCAGGCTCATTGTAAAAACTAATTGTACATATATACTAGTGCAAACCTACTTCCCAAACCAATGGTGGAAAGGTTACTTCCAAGTCTTCCACCTTCATTTTCCAACTCAAATGAATCTACTTTGATAATCAATTTCTCATCTACTCATCCACTTTCTCATCAAATGAATCTACTTCGAAGAACCCAAATCAACTTTGACCCAATCTAAATTAAAAGTGGAACCTATATATACATTTGTATCACAAAATAGCTACTTAAAATACCAATTTTATTAAAAATTACCAACAATTTTATAATGCGAAAAAGTACAAACACGAACTTTTGTAAATATAATAATATTTAAAATATCCGCCTTTCCCAAGTATATAATATATATTTGGATGATTGATGTGATCAAATATACTCATTTGTATTTTTCAAACAAATTGGAGATGCGGGGGATAGAACCCCATGCCTCTCGCATGCAAAGCGAGCTGTAACACCCCCGATTTTCATGCCATTTTAAACTTAAATATGCAAGATAATCTAACCACAAACATAAGCAAAACACAACGGATGTCTATATATATAAAGCCAGAAAAAGGGAGTGCTATGCCACGCTCACACCATTGTGAACGCACAGGCAAAAACCAACATCAACAATCTAACGTATTGTTCAACATAAGGGGCACACAGGCCCAAAACACAACTAAAACTTTCTGGGAGACTAAACTTTCTGGCACACAGGTCCTGACGTGTCTTTTTTAAATATTTTTTTTATTTTTTTAAATTTATTTATTTATTAATATATATATATATATATATATATATATATATATATATATATATATATATATATATATATATATATATATATATATATATATATATATATATATATATATATATATATATATCTACTATACTAATAAGAGCCCAAGAGAGTTAGGCCTATAATGGGTAGAAAAAATGGCGGTCACAGATTTTAATCAAATGAATGGCTCAGATTGATTAAAAGATTTATAAGATTTAAATTTTACATTAAAATTTTCTAAAATACCCACACACCGTTACTAATTCCGTTAAAATTTTAAGAATTGGCGTTAGTTCACCGTTAACTTACTCATTGATTTCAATAAAAAAAAAAAAGGTCTTAGGTTCGAACCTCATCCCATATAAAATATAAATAATAATTTAGTAGCTACAACCAAAAATTATAGATATGCATTTCTTTAATTTAGAATTATGTGTCCACAATGCCTTTATTCAAAAAAAAAATATTCATTATCAATAAATTAAATAAGAGAAATAATTGTATTAGTTATATTGTCTTTATTTTTCTACAATATAAAAATTCTTTATATTCAAATTTATTAATTGATTATATTCACTACATTGTCCTTACAATGTCTTAATTCAGTGAAAAAAAATTATTCATTATCAATAAATTAATTAAGAGAAATATTTTCATTTGTTATATTGTCTTTATTTTTCTCAAATGTAAAAATTTTTAAATTCAAATTCATCAATTGATTATATTCACTACATTGTCTATTATCTTTTTTGTGCACTATTTTTCTAATTAAATATCAAAGTTATAATACAAAATAATGCTATATATTTATTTACCAAGTATTTTATTAGTACCATGAAAAAATTAAAAAAATATATAATTAATAAAGCCAACCATATTAACTACTTGAGAGATTTTGTGACAAAGAGAGTATTCAAATCACACAACAAATTGAAGTGAGAACTACCATGCAATGTCCTTGTTTGACAATCAGCAGTTAGCGGATTATATTAGCGGATTTGACCAACGAATTTATTTAATTATTAACATTGGGTAGAAAAAATGACCGCCAAATTATTAAATCAAATGAATGGTTCAAATTGTTCAGGTTTTAATTTTTTTAAAAAATTTTCTAATTTATCCTTAATTATATGATTGTCCATTTAACTTTTCCGTTAAATACCGTTAATTCACCGTTAGTCTAATTCTAATATTAACGTCTAATATAGAATTATTATTACACCATTAATCTAATTCTAATATTAAAGTCTTAATAGAACTTAACCACAAATCCTAATGTCGAAATCTCCTCAAACAATATTAGTATATATTTAATATTTTATGCCCTAATTTTTGTTTGTTCTCCCTTATGTCCCGTATTTGGTTTCAACCATACCTATACAATTATTTTATTGACAATTATAATCAATCTTGACTATATTATCTTGCATTTGTAAACTTAGAATTACCTATTTAACCCGCACGGGCTTAGCTCAATGGTTTAGTGGGCAGTATTTGGGAGAAGAGACCAAGGTTTGAACCTCGGCGGCGGCAGTGCGGGAATTATGTCCAAAGTGGGCAGATTCCTTGTTTGCACCGGCATTTGGTCCTGTCTGCTGAACCATTGAGTGACCGTGATTTACAACTTCCTACAATGCTCTGTCGGGTCAGAGTGTGGGGGGCCCTTGGGGTAGGGGACTCAACCTTTCGGAGAAGAATTACCTATTTAAATACGCAAATTCAACCTTCAATTATCTATGCATGAACAATTTCAATATAATCTTGC